TTGGAGGTGACTGGATTTAGGGTGTGTGCTGAATTGGTAAAGGATGTGATGCTAGAGTTAAGGGTGTGAGTGCTTCCTACTCTTAAGATGGGTAGCCTGGAAAAATTATGAGTGAGAGAGAGAGAAGGCTGCTGTGTTGTCACTAGTTGCTTGCCATGAACTATTTCTATTCTATGATCCCTGTCTGCCATGCCACCCTGTCTTGGAACCAGCCATTTATAGATGAAACTTCTATGAACTGTGAGCTAAATAAACCTCTCCTCGTTTAACTTTGGGTGTCAGGTATTTTGTCTCAGTCATAAGGAAAAGCAACTAAGGCAGTCTTCTCATTTCTCAGTCTTTAATCATATTATCAAAACCCCTTTTATCATGTAAGGTAAAATATTCACAGATTTGGAGGTTAGGACAGGGATATGTTTTAGGGCAGTGTTTTTTTAAACCTATCATAGTGTTACAAAAGGATTTGTAACACTATCATATCTGGCTGTGACATCTGTCACTCCACTGATTGCCAGGAGGATGACCTTCCCTGATAGAAGAGGACTATTTCCTCCACCAAGGGCATATGAGGAGCTGTGCTTTCTTTCTAGAACCTACAAACAAGTTCCCAAGGTCCACAGTGTTACAAAGGATCAAGAGCAAGAATGTCACTTGGCCTCTGGAAGGGGTAAAGTGAAATTTCAATGAAGAACAAATTCAGGCCTGTTCTCATCACTCCTCTTGTGTGAGACCCTCTGCTTTGGGCTTCTTTGCTTCGCCATCCTCAAGGGAGAATATGGTCACAACTCACTGCCTGAACGTCACATATTTCAGATCTACTTATTTAAGAGTCGAACTTGCCTTAGACCCAATTCTAAGTTCCTTGGGGTTGGGAGAAATAAATCTGCTGGGCTTAGCTATCTATGTCTAGTTTAGCTGGTGCAGTGGGGGAGACTTTTTTACATAGTGTAAACATGGCTTCAGAGAGCCATCCACTTGTCCTCTTAGAAGGGAGACAGAGAAAGAGTAATCATTATGAAATAACCTAACCAAAGAGGTAACCACTATAGTTACTGTGCATATTCCTCTACTCCTGAAGCGTAAATTTTCATGATATACTTGGGATATTTTGGTAGAAAAGTTTAAGCCTGTAATCCTAGCTACTCAAAAGTCTGGGACAGAAGAAGAAGAAGAAGAAGAAGAAGAAGAAGAAGAAGAAGAAGAAGAAGAAGAAGAAGAAGAAGAAGAAGAAGAAGAAGAAGAAGAAGAAGAAAGATGGAAGGAGGAGGATCCTAATTTTAAGGTTATCTTAGGCCAATTTAGTGAATTAGAAAGAACTTGTCCTGAAATAAAATAATAAAAAGGGCTGGGGATGTAGCTTAGTGCTCCCTGGGTTTAATTTCCAGGACTGGGGGAAAAATTCTGAGAATATAGTCCTCCTTTGCATCCACTCTTTCTTAGTTACCTTTTCTTATGCCCCACTTCAAATACTTCTTTCACAGCTTCAGTGTGTGTGTGTGTGTGCAAGTGTGTGCACACTCATGTGAAAGTTGCATGTAGCTCAGACTCATACTGAAATTGTACTTTTTTAGCACTTTAAAATCCTTTAGGTAGGGCTAGGGGTTATGAGTTTGATACCTGGTACCCCCAGGTGATGTGTAGAGCAAAATGGGGCCAAAATGGGTCCCTCCCTACATTCATCCCCCATTAAGGACCACCCCACTCCAGGAGCCCTATCTCCCAAAAGCTGTAGTCACTGGCCTGGCAGAGACTGAGCTAGGTCTCTCCCAGGTCTCCCTCCCCCATGCATTTACTATTCTCTTCAAAACAGGAATTCAGTGCTGACCCTTGCCCTGCCAACTCCCTACCAAGGCCTTTGTCAATAGAAAAGGGGCCAAGCATATTTTTCCATGCCCTTGGCACTTCCCAAACATCAGGGCATATCTATTTCCTGGGGTCACAATGCGAGGACAGGAGGCCAAAGTTCTCCCCCCCATCTCACCTTGCTTGGTAAAGCAATAAAAATCAATTTTAAAAAATTAAACAGATCTTCTTAATCTCAGTCATAAAAGACACCAGCTCACACATGTAATATTCCTGGTAATCAGGGGGATGAGCTGACCTGAGGCAGCAGGATCAATTTTTTTTCTCCTAATCTCGGTCATAAAAGACAGCTCATGCCTTGTAGCCTTGTAATCCCAGCACTGAGGAGACTAGGATAGGATAGGATAGAATAGGATAGGCTGAGGCAGGAGGGTGTTGGGAATTAGAGAAAAAAAAATTAAACAGCTGCTGTCCCCACAATGAGCAAACTCTCGTTGTGCTGCCATTGTTTATTTCCCTATCATCCAAGTAGCCAAGAAAACACTGAAACTCCAATCTCCTCCTTATTCCAGCAGCTAGAATTTATTCTTTCATGAAACAACTATTGTGCTATGTAATAAGACACCCAGAAGACGATTCTAGCAGTTTCTGGGAACATCTCGTGGGAAAACTCCTTTTTCTATAAATCGGAGAAGGCAGTCAGATTTTGGCTTCCCTCAGGCTTTGGCAGGAACTGAAGAAGTTCAGGATGTACATTTGATGTCCTCTCCATTGAACTGATTCAGGCCAGGGCTGGAGTATGTGAGTGTGAGCATGACGGTAGATAGGTGGGAAGGCCAGAAAGTGTGCTCAGAGGTGGGGGTGCCCAGGAAGTGTGGGGTATCAGGGTAACAGAGTGTGCTGGCCTGATTCCTGAATCATCCCCAAGCCCCTCCAACTTGCCTGGTCACTAACCAGTTCCAGCCGTGCTCTGCTCTGGCCATCACTTACCATATGGTCTCTAGGAATTTATGAGTAATTAAATGAGTGTGTGAACATGTGTGGTGTGTATCCTTAAAAACAGAAGTTTCCACGGTAACAACTGGGAAACTCAGCTCCACCAGCCAGGGAAAGCTTCATCTCTCCTGACCTCCTCAGGCATCTGAGGGAAAAACAGGCCAGAGGGTAACCTCTTACCTTTCTCTACACCAAGAGCATAATCTGGGTCAGTCCCTAACTTGGTTCAAACATGTTTTTTATTCCACTACTTCTTGTTTCAGACCTTTATATAGTCGGATGTCCAGGCCAGGCAACCTCCACTGGGTAAGGGTAACTGTGTGTCAAGCAGGAGGTAGGTGATGGTTAGGACGCTGGTTTCTCCTAACCTAGAAACCTCATACCCATGTGCCCGCAGCTCAGAGCTCATGGTCCCTGGTGATTAGTAACCACTCTCAGCAGTCTCCCTACTTCCTGCTACAGTGTCATTAAAATATATACAAACTCTTCTCTCATAGCTGGTGGCAGAAAGGGAAATCAGCCTGCAGGAAAGGAGTGAGCAAACTGAAGAGCCTAGGAGTTTCTTCTCTTGGAATTAAGTTCCCTTTTGAGGACAGGCTGAACACATGTCCTAACCCTCTGCACACAGTCTCACATCTTCCCCAGTGAGAGATGACAAATTCAGAGAGAAAAAGATTGAGGTCAATCTAGCTGGGGGTGAGGTAGGGTGGCAGGAACAGTAATGATGAGGCACAGTGGGAGCAGAATTAGTCATGCAGGCCTTGCACAAGTGCCCAGTCTGCAGCTGGAGGGAGTTTTGTTTGGGTGTCTGCGGGAGCTCCCAGGAGACCGAAGAGCACTAGACTCTGCTTCTACCTGCAGATGCATTCTTTTTCCTTGAAACTCCTTAGCCACCGGGTTATTGAGGTTAAATGAGTAAGACAACTTGACAGCTTTTAGCATTTTACACATGAGCATGCACATGCGCGCGCGCGCGCGCACACACACACACACACACACACACACACACACCCCAGCCCTCTCAGGCTTTTTGAGTACTGGGGTTGGAGACAGAAAAAGGAGAAAAAGGATGAGAAAGAACCCTGCGGGAGGCCAAGCAGGAGCTAACCGCAGTCCCTATCATTTCCTGGGTGCTTCAGCTTTGGTGATTGTCTCTGTCATTCACAGCTTAGAGATTCTCTCTGCTTCCTGCCTGTCACTGATCATCTGGGACTTAGTCACCCACCTGTTACCCAGTACTGGGTGGGTCATGGGGCATCACTGACGGCAGCAACATGAGTCAAGAGAATCCCCCACCTCATCCTGCAGTGTGAGGTCCTAGTGTGTGACCTCTCCCCCGGGTGCAGGGGCCAGCTCAGAAGTGGGGTTCCACCAAGAACACAAGTTCACTCACCCTCCCTCCTCTTCCTCGTTCCTAACCCACCCATCATCATTTGATAAAGACCTATTAGGTTAGGCGCCCCTCTAATGCATGGAGCCAGCCTGGGCTAGGTATAAAGAAGCAGTCACAATCCTTCACTTAGGAAACATATCATACTCTTGGCTCTGCACTGTCCTGGCCCTCAATACCTTTTGCCCCATTGACTCTTAGGGAGTCTGGAAAGCCCAACTCCAATCCTGCTCTCTTAGTGAACTTCTCAAAGCCCCATTACCCAGTGGGCACCTCCTATCTGGCATCCTGGCTTCCCTCTTTCCTGGGATCTCCCTTAACCTAACATAAGCTCTTCAAAGACAGGCTCTGGCCCTTCTTTGTGCCCTCCCACCTTGTTCCAGGCTGATTAATACTTGAAATAATGACTTTTTCTTAAAGCAGACATAAGTCGCCTTCAAGGCTATTTAAATTCCCAACTCAGTTTGGGGTGCAAAGGAACTAAGATCTTATTTTTGATTCCATCATCTGAAACTCACACTACCTCAGCTGTCTTTTACCTCTTTTCTTTTATTTACTTTTTCCTAGTAATCAGAGAGACTTGAAGGCTGATGCTGAGGTGTCCCTGGGACACAGGAATATCTAACTCCAGAGGTGCTGCTTCTCAGCCTGACAGGAGGCCCACCCTGGGGAAAAAGGTCTTCCTGTCTCCATAGAGGACCCTGAAAAGGAAGTGGGTGTGAGGGGCTCTTCTTGGCTTCTGCTGCCTGGTAGGGTAGAGGTTAATAGTAGATTGCAACACATCTTTGGGCTGAGTCACCCTTGGTTGAAGTTTCATAAAGAGTTTCCCAGTGGCTGGGAAGTGAAAAGAACAGGAGGCAAGAGCCCCCTGCTAACTCTGCTCTCTCAGGCTCCCAAAAATCCAAGGTCAGAGAGCATAGACAGCCTCTGGAGGTCTTGTCATGTACCGGCAGCAGCTATGGCTGGGCTTCCTACTCCCTGTGACAGTCTTGTGCCGAGCCTTGGGGCCTGCAGAGAAGAAGGCAGCTATGGTGAGTTCCTTGGGAAAGAAGAGTCAGCCAGGGCAGTGACAGGATAGTCACTCCACAGCTCCACCGAAGCCTGTCTTCTACCTGCAGACTACCTGCCTTTCCCTTCTTTCCTCTACTTCGTGGCCACCCTGTCACTCCCTGCACCTTCCTCTCGCTCTATCTGAGCCTGATCTCTAAGCTGCTTCTGTTTTAGTCCTTTGTTTCTATCCCTGCCTCTCCTAATGGGTCTCTTAGATCAGTTAGAACCTTTGCCTAGAGACTAACTTCTTGTTGCTCACCTCCTCCTCCTCGTAGGATTACCTGTTGCAGTTCGGGTACCTGCAGAAGCCTCTAGAAGGACCTGATAACATCAGGCCAAAAGATGTCACAGAGGCTCTGAGGTGAGAATCACAAAGCCATAAGGTCAAAGCTGAAGTTGCAAGATCTTCTCCCTTCTAATTCTTTCCTCTCCACAGCCCCACCTCTGCCTGAACCAAATCTGTATTGGGGATCTGTTGGATGGGTGCTAGCAATGTTGGGGTGGTGGCACATGGAGTGGGACAGGGATTCATTATGAGGAGTACAGTCATTGGAGCTGCTAGGCCTTAAGCTCTCCTTTGGAGGGTCTACCCCACATCTCATTCCATATACTATTATTTAGGTAGAGTCCAAATGAAGTATGATTTACATGTCAAATTATGAATTGGGTTGTTATAGTGATGTTACCTTTTATGGTCACTAAACCTAGTCAGCTTGTATTTCTATTTGTAGTTTTTTTTTTATGTTTTTGTGATGATTTGTTTTTCTTTATGGGTCTCTTGAAGTGCATACCAAAAAAAGAAAAGAAAAGAAAAGAAAAGAAAAGAAAAAATACATAAGCTCTATGATAGTCTATATATAGATGAAATGCCCTAGAATAGGCTGGGCTGGAGGTGGGTCCAACCAGAAGGAGAGAAGGCCGAGGAGGACAGGTCCTGGTGGAGAAATGGAGAGCAAGAGAGAATTTCCAGAATGGGAGAAGGTTAAAAATTGTAGTAGAGTTAGGGTTAGGAGGAAGCCTACGCTTGAGGGGAATGGCATGGTGGTGGCACTCTGGGAGGCTGAGGGAAGAGAACTGTGACTCAGCATGGGCAACTTAGTGAGACCCTGTTTCAAAAAAGGAATGGGAATATAGCTTGAAGGGATGGCCTGGGGTTTGGTCCCCAGTACTAGAAAGGGGGGGGGAGAAAGAGAGAGAGAGAGAAAGAATGAAAAATGAAGTTAGACAGTTGCCATTTCTACAGAACAGGAGAGAAAGTCCTAATTATGAGGACTGAGGCTGGAGTGACTCTGTTTAAGTTCAGAGATTCTGTGCCATTCTTGGTAGCCGCCTTGGGCAGTAGCAGACAAAAGAACTATCTCCAGTTCTTAGTCATTTTAGACTTACCTGCCTTGGTGGACCCATCCCTCTCCCTCTTTCCAGAGCTTTTCAGGAAGCATTTGGGCTGCCAATCTCAGGTCAGCTGGATGATACCACAAGGGCCTACATGCAGCTGCCTCGTTGTGGCCTGGAGGATCCCTTCAACCAGAAGACCCTCAAATACCTGTTGCTGGGTGAGAATTGAGCCTGGGAAGAGGAGGGAAAGCAGAGGACGTTATAGCTCTGGAGTGTGGTGGCATCAGGACGACCTGGACCAACTCAGTGTTGAATGGATGATCACCTGGTGATTACCTGGTTATTATCTGTCTAGAGGGGTTGTGAGTACCTACATCCAGAGGAGCTCTCTGGGGTTAGAAGAAGGATCTTTGCTTCTAGCATAGATAAGGATGTGTATTTCAAATGTCTCTTCTGGTCCATTAACCAGGGCGATGGAGGAAAAAGCACCTGACCTTCCGCATCTTGAATCTGCCCTCCAACCTCTCACCCCACATAGCCCGGGCGGCCCTGCTTCAAGCTTTCAAGTACTGGAGCAGTGTGGCTCCCCTGACCTTCCAGGAGGTGCAGACTGGCTGGGCTGACATCCGCCTCTCCTTCCATGGCCGTGAAAGCCCATACTGCTCCAATACCTTTGATGGTCCTGGTAGGTAGCAGTTCTCAGCTGTTATTGCCCAAACTTCTGAGATTACCTCTGTTCCTTTGAGATGGTAACTTTGGAACCTTAATAGTCTGGATGCCTCTCTTCCACACTGGCACCTTATGCAATCTGACCCCTTCTAATGTTCCCTAAAGGAGCTTTGGTTGCATGCATGGAGCCTCCTGTTTGAAGCTGATATTTCCTTTCCTGGCTTAAATTCCATCAAAGAACACATGAGAGAGGGTTGGGAGAGAGGTAAAGGAACTGTGATGGGCATCTGTGAGAGAAGTGGATGAAAACAAAGGAATCTGAAAGAAGCATCCCATAGATAGAGAATATAGCTAGAGATATTTAAGAAAATGGAGTACCCCAAGTTTAGGCCAGGCAGGACACTCGAAGACTCTGGGCACTGACCATTCTGTATACCTTTGTCTTCATGCAGGGAGGGTGCTGGCCCATGCTGACATCCCTGAGCTAGGCAGCGTACACTTCGATGAAGATGAACTCTGGACTGAGGGGACCTATCGCGGGGTGAACCTGCGCATCATCGCCACCCATGAACTCGGCCATGCCCTGGGACTTGGCCACTCCCGATACACCCAAGCACTTATGGCCCCTATCTATGCTGGATACCGTCCCTACTTCAGGCTGCACCCAGATGATGTGGCTGGGATCCAGGCTCTATATGGTCAGTCCTTCTCCCTCTTGAGTATAAAGATCAGTCTGATCGCCATCTGTTTCCACTTAAGAGACAGGTCTCTCATCCATGGAAATTATGTGGCTTCTTCTTTCTCTGTCCTAGATGCAGAGGCTTCTTCACTTTCAGGAACGGTATCTTGCTAACTTTGCTATGCCTAATCTTCCTTCCAGGCCTTTCTCCATTTATCTTCCCTTGGAGATGGAAATACGGATCCAGGGAGCCTCCTCCCTTTTTGGTTGCTTTTCAAAACAAAAAAATGTGTCTCTTGCTGATGTCAGCATGAAATTGTCCATTACCAAGAAAAACTCCCTGAGAGTTTCCTGTGTCCTTTCTATGGGAATGTTAGACAAGAGTATACAGTAGGCAGGTGCCTACTGTATGTCTCTCCCACAGCAGCATCATTTTATCTTGCAGGCAAGAAGAGCCCACAGACAAAGGAAGAAGAAAAGATGAAGGTGCCCACTGTACCCCCAGTGCACAGAGAGCCCAGTCCTATGCCAGACCCCTGCAGTGGAGAACTGGATGCCATGATGCTGGGTCAGGTCTTTCCCCTCCAACTCATAAACAGGCAGTGGGGCCATTCATTGACCCTAAGGCCTGGACATATGGGAATGAGATGAGGCTACAGCATGAGCAATGGAGGTCAGATCCCAAAGAGAAGTTAGTGACTGTGAAAGAAGATATGTAATATAGATAGGGAGGCTTTAGAGCTAAATTTAAAGGGGCAAAGCAGGCATTTATCAAGATAGCAGCCACGCATGGTGGCATAAGCCTGTAATCCCAGCTGAGGCAGGAGGATTGTTGCAAGTTTGAGACCAGCATGGGCTACAAAGTGAGCTAAAAGCCAGCCTGAACTGCATAATGAGGCCCTCTCTAAAAAGACAGAAAAAAAAAAAAAAAAGATTGTCACCTTGTAAGGGATATTGGAACATATGCAAAAGGCTGAGGAAGGCTGAGGTAGGAGGATCATTGCAAGTTTGAGGCCAGCCTGGACTACGTATCAAGATTCTGTCTCAAAACACAAAACAAAACACACAAAAAAGGTGGAATTGAGGGACAACAAAATGGAATTAGCGAGACTATTAGAGAGGGTTCTGCACCTGATTGGAAGAATAATTTGGAAGCACTTGGAACAAGAGTTTCTCAAAATGGAACAACTATCTACAGTGTTTTTCAGGGCTAAAATGCTCTGAAAAACAAGGGAAAAGCTCAACACTAGGTCCTCTTTCTATACCTTTAATTTTCTTCTTTAATTGGATGAAGCTTTGAAGCATCAGCCTGTGGGAGGGAGGGCAAGTTAGCGGCCTACCTGAGATACTCACAGGTCTTTGTTGTTTTGACTTGTTGATATGTTTTTGCTCTCAGGGCCCCGTGGAAAGACCTATGCTTTCAAGGGAGACTACGTGTGGACTGTGACAGAGTCAGGGCTGGGTCCTTTGTTCCTAGTGTCTGACCTTTGGGAGGGGCTGCCAGGAAAGCTGGATGCTGCTGTCTACTCTCCTCGAACACAGTGGATTCACTTTTTTAAGGGTAAGGGGGAGAGCTACAGTGTCTTATCTGAGGAGGGCCTTGTCATAAAGAAACCACAAAAGGGAGAGCTGAGAAGTTTCTAAAAGAGTGAAATTGCTAGTGTAATTCCAGCATGTGGAGGAAGACTGAGGTAAGAGGATCATTGCAAGTTCGAGGCCAGCCTGGATTACATATTGAGACCCTATCTCAAAAAACAAAACAAAACAAACAAAAGGGTGGAATTGAGGGACCAAAAGCTACCACCTGACAATAGAGGTAACCTGTTCTTTCTTTATACACTCTTAGGGGACAAGGTGTGGCGCTACATTAATTTCAAGATGTCTCCCGGTTTCCCCAAGAAACTAAATAAGGTAGAACCCAACTTGGATGCAGCTCTCTATTGGCCTGTCAACCAAAAGGTGTTCCTCTTTAAGGTATAAAGTTCAAAAGGAGGGTGCAACCCTTCTTAAGAGGGGCAAGGTATCTCATACATCTTTGAAGTTGCATGGGCTAAGGGTAGACCTCTCAGGGTTTCTAGATTCTGTCTTCATTGTGCTCTTCTCCATATCCACCCTATATCCAGGGATCTGGGTACTGGCAATGGGATGAGCTGGCACCAACTGACTTCAGCCGCTACCCTAAACCAATCAAGGAGTTGTTTACTGGAGTGCCAAACCGGCCATCGGCTGCCATGAGCTGGCAGGATGGCCGAGTCTATTTCTTCAAGGACAAAAAGTACTGGTGTCTCAATCGGCAGCTTCGAGTAGAAAAAGGCCATCCAAAGAGCACTGCCTACAACTGGATGCACTGTCATCCTCATACACCAAGCACTACTTCATCAGCTGGGGACACCACTCCCTCAGTCATGGATACCATCTCAAATACTGACACAGTCTTGGACATTACTTCCGCAGACTCCACACTTTCATTACTTGCTAATGTCACCTTCCCTGAGGCCTAAGACTGAGCCAAATGTCTGGTTATTAGATCTACAGTGGGATGGGGCTGGGGATTTAGCTCAATGGCATAAGCACCTGCCTTGCAAGCACGTGGTCGTGAGTTCAATCCCTGGTACCGATAAGAATGAAAAAGACAAAAAAAGAACTACAGTGGGGTTATGAACTTGATCTTTAGCCCCTGAAAGTTTCAACTCCAGCCATTACTCATGTGAGAGGTGCTTCCCTGATCCTGATTCAGCCCTCAGTCTACCCAGTTTCTCCTCATTTTAGAGAGTCTTAGATATCACTTCCAACTATGTCATCTCTCTGGAAGACAGTGGTGGAAGGCTGCATCAATCAGGTCTTTAGTTGACAGGATGCAGCAGCTGAGGAAGCTGGATACCTGGATTCCATTCATCCTAGATAAAGTGCAAGAAAATAGTATGGCCAGTAAAAATGAGCAAGGGCTTTGGAGTCCTCAAGAATTACATTTGCCTACGTGTGACTTGGACATCCTAAAAGCCTCATTGACTCCTGGAATGTCCATTAGCAAAGCAAAGTTAATACCAATCCTGCAGTTGTTGCATTAAATGAAATATTTGCGTACATGCAAAGTGTCTGGCAAGTGTATGGCACATTTGTGATTAATAAAGGTTAATTCTATGCTTCTAAGAGAGGACTGAACAGTGCTCCCTCTGCCTATCTGTGTGTATAGCTTCTACAATGCTTTGTCTGATAAAAGCACCCCTATCAGATCACTTAGGAGACAGAAGACTCATTAATACGTCTACTTCTTTGAGGATATGGAGGGAAAAAAGACAGAAGCAACAGTGGAAGCAAATTCCCTGGTTCAATTTTCAATGCTATTTTATTTACATGGTCCTTTGTTCTTCCTCCCTCCCATCATAGCCCTGCTGCCCAGAGGAGAGATATGTTTTCCTTCATGCTGTCTGGGGAACCAGGGGCCAGACTGTGGGGCAGGAGAGCTGAGGGGGTAGTTAATATATGTGCTGCTGAAGCAAGCACACTGAGAGGGCAGTTAGAAGGGATTAGTGGCTGAAATGAAATTTTGGTTAAGGAGAGAGTTGTATCACCCACAGAGACAGGCAGAGAAGGCACTTTTCTTCCTTGCAGCCCTAGAGACCAGATTCCTTTGGGCAAAGGGGCAAGACTCTGATATGTGGCCAATGCTGTCTTGGGGCAAGAAGCCAGCTTTTGGAAAGGTGGGCGCTGAGGCAGGTGCTGGGGTGCTCCCCAGGTTGAGGAGAGAGGGGGAAGCACCATGGAGATTAGAGTTCTCCCCTGAGGTAGGAAAAGGGGGCTCAAGCCTATGGGGCACAAGAGCAAAGGCTAACCATCAACCCAATTACTTGTTAACGAGGAGCCTGGGGAATTCCGAAACTCTTTTGTGTTATTCTGTTCATCAATAGCTATCAAATGTGTTAGGAAGCTCCTTGATTTCCCATAGGCCCTACAAAAACACAGCCCCTTATTTGCCACCTTGGGCACTGTGGGTACGCTGAGATGGATATTTACTTGGGTAAATACTTTCTTGCTTTGGAGAGAATTAGGGAGTCAGTTTCTCTAGGGATCAGGTCGCCTCTATTACCGGGCAGCGGTAAGGTGATCATACTTTTAGTCCTCTCCCCTCCACACAAGATTCTTTTCTTCCTGACCCTGAAACATATCTACAAGATGGGTTTGGAGAACAGGTCCTATCCCCAAATCCAGAGGTGGAGAAGTTTGTGTATGGGTGCTGTGGACCCTCATTAGGGTGGGATGCCAGTAGATGAGGCTCAAGTCTGAGTTGAATCAGAGGGTATAGTGAGGGGTACAGTGGAACCACAGTCAGAATCCAGGTCCAGGATGGTATTGGGGGCTGTGGCCAGGGTACTTGGTCCCAGCTGGCGCTCTTGAAGACTCTGGAGATAACTCTGAAAGGGCACAGGGCAAAAGGGCATAAAGAGGGCCCTGGGTCAGAGACTCTTCTCACTCTGAACATCCCCATATACCCTCTGCCCCACCCCTCATGGTGCCCCATTTCCCCCCACTCACTGGAGCCAGGCTGTCAGCAGGGCTCCGGGCACTGGGGGGGAGCTGGCGCCGATAGCTGCCCTCACAGAGTCCCACCCCAGAGGGGGTCCGATGCCACTTGGCCTCTTGTGAATGGATCCGGAGAAGCTGGAGATGCCTTTGCTGGTGACTCAAAACCACTGATTTGGAAGGGGTAATTCAGATTTAAGGAGGCCTCTTAAGGTCCTGAATTCCACTCCCAAACATACTCATGCTCTATGGAAACCCATTTGAATTCTCTGTTATGTTCTCTCAAGCCTCAACTCACCCTTAGTTATTGGAATTCTACTTTTTCCTTCTAGGATCTTCATGTCTTTTCATAGGAGCCCCAAATAACTTGTCCCTGCATCCCCTGAAAACTTCTCATCTTCACCTATATACCCTTGGTTACTTTTAATTTGGTATCCTCCCCTAATTCACGTTGCTAACATCTAATTTCTTCCCTTTTCCTCCTCAAATCTGGGAAGCAGGGTCACAAGTAGGCACAGTTGGCTGTATCTAACCAAAGCACTAACTCACCATTGGTGTGGCCTCCACGTTCCTCAGACATGAGCTTCCATTGTGCCAGGGCCCCAAGAGCCCCCAAGGCTGGCCAGGTCCCCAGTAAGACCCAGCTATACCAGCAGAGAGGAGGCAAAGCTGTAAGTGCCTGCAGGCGTTGGCCCAGCCGACTGCCCAATGCCAGTCCCTCCAGGAAATAGTCAGCACAGGCCACTAGCACTGCAGCACCCAGAAGGGCTGTGCCCAAAATTGTGAAATGACGAGGCCATCGAAGAGTCAGCAGGGCTCCCAGGAGTGCCAGGCCCACCAGCCCTCCGGCTGGTACCCAAGCTGAAGGTGGTTGGTAGATGGGTTCAGTGGCCAGCAGGGCCCCAGCGCCCAGGGTCAGACCTAGCAGGAGACCAGTCAGGAAGAGCCCAACGCTGCGAACCAGCATGGTGACCAAGCCGCAGAGGAGTCCGATTCCCAGTGCGATGCCTGCGCTCACCTCCAGGCTCAGCTGTGTCTCTAGCACCCGCTCCTTGTGGCACAGCAGGAAGATCACCAGAGCTCCTGACAGCAGGCCGGACAGAAACATCACTGCCTTGAAGCAGCGGTAGCCTGGAAAGGGAGGCATAAGGCACTGAGAGGAAGAAAGGGGGCTGGTCAGGGATGATTTGGGAAAACTGGGAAAGGAAGGCTGACCAACAGAACAAAAGACAGAAGCAGTGAGTCAAGGGCAAGAAGAAAGGGATGAGCTTAGGATTGGAAGAGGGGCGTTTAGGAACTGTGAGGGAATAAGAGGGAAAATCCGTAGACAAGATGGGTGCACTGAGGAAAGTAAGTATAGGAAGGTCTAGCCCTTTTGGAGATGGGCCACAGGAAGAAATCACCACAGGCTGATTCAGGTTTCTGGGGAAAGATGACAAATCTCAAGAATGGAGGATAACTGGGAATGCAGTTTTGAGGTAGGAAGGCATAAGAAGGCAAACAACAGATGACAGAGATCAGAGCTAGAGGGCATGGGCAAGGGGGTGGGCAAGAAGCTGGTAAGGGCAGAATGGCCCATTCTGAAGGTAGGCATTCCCCGACAGAAGTGGGAACAAAGACAGTTGGTAGCACTATTGAGTGTAACAGTCTTGAGCACCTGCCCCCCCAGGACCTTGCCCCTGCCCTCACCAAAGCAGCAGTAGATGATTCCAAAGCAGCAGCAAAGGGCACACACCAGGGCAGGTGCCAGTTCAGGCTTGTCCTGGGATTTCAAGATACATCTTGGGTCTGGAGGCTCTGGGAGTTGTTGATTAAAGGGCTTGGGATCAGCCTCTATGGTCAGGGGCAGAAATGCTTTTTCCATGGTCCAAGAGGAGATGGTCATAGAGCAGGAGGTCAGGGTCAGGTCCTCTTAACCATGCATGTAACCATGAATGTCTCGAGGGTGCTGGGAAATCTGCAAGAGGACAAGGGAAAGAACTCATGTGTTCATGAATCTTGAGGCCTCTTATCTCTGTTTTCTTTAGAAGAATGGCCAATTTTAGGCAGAAGAATGACTCTGTTGGGGGTAACTAAGGAAATCTAAAGCTTTTGTTGAGGGGAGTGGGATGTCTTCACTCTTTAAAATGAGGACACTAAGGAAAACCTAAATGAACTCTCATGAGGTAATGAGCCTTTGCGTACTTTTCAGGGTGAAGGTTGCAGTAGAAAGCCCTGGTCTGTAAGGAGAAGGGTGCAAGGGTACTTAGGGTAAAAAGCCCCAGCAGCCTCTCTAAAAAGAAAGGCTAGCTCATTTGTAGCTAAGACTCAATGTTCCTCCACTGGATTGGAAAGGGCAAGGATAATAAAAAGGGGAGGAGGAGAAGGAAGAGGAGAGAATGCGTCATGCTGGGGTCTCAGGACATCTGCTGTAACCCCAAGGAAGGAGGCAAGAGGAAAAAAAAAACAGATACCAAAAAAGTTTGCGACAAGGAATTAATTAGGGACAATCACCCTGTTTGTCAGGGATTTGAAGCTTTGGCTTTCGGCTGACACAGAGTTGTTGAGGGGAAGGGGCTTGCCTTTGCTGTATAAATCCCATAGCCCCACATAGAATAAAAGGCACCTAGCTCACAGACATCTCACATCCTGGTATCCATTTGCTCCTCCTCTCAGGACATTGCTGAACTTTTCCTATTCTTTCCCAGGGTTGTACGAGTTGCCAATGGGATCTGAATTCAGATCCTGAAAGGAGATCACCAAGGAAGGGATGGCAACTGGGGTATTGCGGGAATGGGGTGGAACAGATGCAGGCAGTTTCTTTCCGCAGTCTTTCGGACATCAGGGTCCTAACAGACTGAGGAGTGGCCTCGGAAATTGCTGAGGCTCTTAAAAGGTATGGAAGTCTGGGACGCTAACGAGAGAAGGTTGGTAAAAGATGTTAACTACTCACCACCCAGCCAGAGCTAAGGAGAGGAGGTTGGAAGTACGTCCCTAGACCCCCAGCTGCATCCCAGCCCAGAGGTCCTAGGTGCTGGGGCGGGTGTCGAGCGTGAGCATCCCCAGAGTCACTCAGTTCTTTGCTCCCTAAAAACTCTTGCAAATCGTAGCCCAAGCCCTGTGAGCTAAACGCAACTAGCCTGGGGGAGAGGCGAGGAGGAAGGGGACAGGGTGTGTGTGTTGGGGGGGGTGACATCACGGAGCGGGCGCCTACAACCCTTTCCTCTGTATGTGGGGGGGACATAGTGGCTTACTGATTTACTCCAGGACTGGACTCCCAATCATAGCAGGGAAAGGTCTTTAGGGACCTAGCAAGAGTTTTGGGGAAATGTCTCTGAATACTTAGGAGGAAACTCCGTAACTGGAAATCTCAAAGTCCCAACTAGGGTCCCAGCTCCCCCCAGCTCTAGCTTGGTTTCTTCCACTTCCCAGAGAATTGGAGTATTGTCTTCTGGAGATCTGGGTGGTCGGGATCGGGGGACCTGGGGAAGGGGGTTTTACTGGTCTGGGGGAGCTGGGAGGGGTTTACGGGTGGAAAAACTTGCAATGCAAAACGGGGTCTGGATGGAAAAGGGGCATGAGAGAACTGTAAGACTGGAAAGTGTACTGGGGAGGGAACACAGGGTCCGCATAGGCGGGGGCGCATGTCGACGTCGGCGGAAAGGCTTGGTATGCAAATAAGATGCAAAGCAGCATACAGATGAGTGCGGCGTTCTATTAGTCTCGGCTCTGGTTCTAAGCCCAGCGGAACTACGCTCTCAGTCCTTTGGCCTCATTCTGTGACCAGGCCTGGGAACTGCGTCCCGAGGGGGCGGGCCCGGGGCGTGGAAGCTGCGGTTATAAGGGAAAGCTCGCCAGCTGGGTCAGCCACGGTGGAGGCCGAAGGCTGCTGGGAGAGGAGGGGCAGCGCTGCAGAGCCAGGGCGGGGGCTAGCCCTGGGCATCCTCTCCGCGGATACAAAGGGTCCTCTGTTCTTGCCACAGCCGGTAGGGAAGGGATCAGGGCGGTGTTTTCTCTGCGACCCCTAGTCTTGTCTGCAAGGGAAACAGACTATGTGTGGCTCGGTGGTTGTCCTCCAATCTCTCACTGTCCACAAAGTCCAGGAGTAGAGTCTGACCAATACTGAGAATCGGCCCACCGGCTCTGCGGCACAGTGGCCTAGCTTCGCCTTCAGCCGCGCTATCTGCGAGCACACCACCCGGAGGGCACGCGGAGGGCAGCATCAGAGGGCCCTTTAAGGGGCGGGGCCGGTGCTCTAGAGGCCGCCTCCTCTGATTTGATTCACCGCTAGGTGGACTGGCTTGCGCCCCGGCCAACTGCTTTTTCTTTTCCTTCCCGTCTCTTCCCCGGTGACCCCGGAAGTGGAAGTGGGTGCAGGTCGGGGCCCGCGGCGGGGACGGAAGGCGGAAGCAGAGCGGGAGCGGGAGGCGGAGCCGGGGGAGCTGCTCTCGTAGCTCCCCCTGGCCCCAAGGCCCAGCTGCTCGAGAGGGAGGAGTTACCGCCGCTCTGCGGTACGTTACTTTCGTCCCTCCTACCCATCCCTTGGGCTCTGAGGAAACCCTAAACTTTGTCTCCTGCTTTTCCTTTAGGGCCGCGCAGTCCCCACCCTTTCCTGACAGTCGGCGGCTACCTGCTTTCCAGCTTCTTTACCTTTTTCCTAAGCGTGACCCTTGGATCACACCCTTCCCCCCCATTGAAGATTATGGCTTCCTGGTGGATGCAGAAAAATTTAAGATTTAGAGAAGGGGGAGGGTCCCTGTGGTTACTGTGGTTCTGGGTTATTGTTAGAGTTAGCGAATGCCCCAGGGGGATTTGGGTAATAAGGGAGGAGAGTACATTAACTGTATCCCGAATTTAAGATGAACTCCCCTTTGGTCCCACTCTTGACTACTCCCACTTTAATACCTTTATTCCTGGAACCAGAATTTACCTTGCCGGCTGTGACCTAAAACCCTCTGGAAGCCCCGGGGTCATGGCCCAGAAGCACCCGGAAGAAAGAGTGTTGTGTGGAGTTCTTCACAGTGGTGGTGCTTCCCTCAGGACTTTAGGACCCTCCGCGGATCCTGAAATACTTGCATTCTCAGAACTCAGGGACTCAGCGGGAACTGCTCCTAATGGTACCGGCTGCCTCACAGAACACTCTGGTTCTAAGTACACACAGCTCCCAAATCCGGCTCATTGGTCAGATCCAAGCCATGGCCCCCCAAGGGGTCCAGGACCACCTAGGGAAGGGGAAGACATTGATCAAAGTGAAGCATCTTCAGTAGAGTCAGGAGTGGACCAGAATCTCTCAAAGAGTGAGGCCGGGTACCATGAGGATGGGACTCCTTTTCTTTCCATTCCATCTGCTTGTAATTGCCGGGGAACTCCTGGAATTCCACAAGAGCCTTATTCAGAGGGAAGAGATGGCTCTTCTAGTAACTTTTGCCACCATTGTACCTCTACAGCCTTGGGGGAAGATGAAGAATTGGAAGAGGAATATGACAATGAGGAACCTCTTAAATTTCCAAGTGAATTTTCACGGGTGTCCAGCGGAAAGAAACCTCCATCCCGGAAACAGCGGCACCGCTTTCTGACCAAGGAGGATAATCGGGAGGGTGGACGTAGAGATCCCAGGTCCGCTGGTCGACATCGGCTGGGCCGGAAACGAAGTCAGACAGATAAGCGCAGAGGCCTGGGGTTATGGGGAGCAGAAGAACTGTGTCAGCTTGGACAAGCAGGCTTCTGGTGGTTGATTGAACTGCTGGTGTTGGTGGGAGAGTATGTGGAAACGTGTGGCCATCTCATCTATGCATGCAGGCAGTTGAAAGGCGGTGATCTGGACCTTTTTCGAGTTTGGGTGGGAGCCTGGACTAAGTGGCTGGGCAGCTGGGTGCAGGTAGCATTCCAATGTCTAAACCAGGGGTTTTACTATGGGGCAGGGCTGTTCACCCGTTTTCTTAGGCTAGTGGGTGCTTTACTGCTCCTGGGTCTGGCCCTCTTTTTGGGCTGTCTCCAGTTGGGCTGGCAGTTTCTGGTGGGCCTGGGTGACCGATTAGGCTGGAGGGATAAGGCCACTTGGCTTTTTTCTTGGCTGGATTCTCCCACCTTGCAGCGTTGCTCGACTCTGGTGAGAGATAGCAGGCTGTGGCAGCAGCTGGTAAGAATTGTTCATTGGGGTTGGCTGGAGTTGCCATGGTTCAAGCAGAGGACTAGTAGCCAGGGGAATGTACCTGTAGCTAGTGGGCGGTACTGCCAGCCTGAAGAGGAAGTGGCTCGACTCTTGACCATGGCTGGGGTTCCTGAGGATGAGCTAAACCCTTTCCATGTGCTGGGGGTTGAAGCCACAGCATCAGATACTGAATTAAAGAAGGCCTATAGGCAGCTGGCAGTGATGGTGAGTACACTTCCTCTCAGTTTCCTGTTCCTTTTTGTTCCCTTATTTTATTTTCTACTCTAGTTATAGGGAGAGTGGAATAAAGGGAAAGCAAAACAGAAAAGTCAACTAGAAACTGAAGGATAACATTTGTACCAGTCATAAAGATTTTTTCCTTTACTGTGGGATCTGACTTTCCCTCTGCTAGGATTATTTCCAAAAGACGAAAAATATTTCCAAAAGATGAGAAATATAAAATAAAAAGCGGCCTTTATTCTGAGAACACGGAGGGAGATGACTGGCACCCCCACCGCTGGTGTCCGCTCTCCGGGCGGACACGTGGCGTGGGGGCCTGTAAATAGCCTTGGTTTGGGGTGGAACCTAAGGCGGGCATTAGGGATACACAGGTAGCCCATTGGTCCTAGGTTTGGCGCCATATGTAAATTTCCAGGAGCAGGAAGATGGCATCACAGGTAACTTCCTAGGGGCAGGGGAAGATAGGTCTTCCTGCTTCCAGTTGAGGTTTTCCTGGCTACAGTGTCCTGTCTGGGCCAAAACCCTTTCATATCTCTTTAACAGTATTGCCTACAGACTCCAACATCATGCATACCAGAGACAAGCCTTACCAACCTACTGTCTTAACTTTTATGCTTTCAGATGGGGGAGTAAGCACCTCTCATAACTCCACTCCTCCTAACCCCACGTATAATTTTCAGAATTGTGCCTTACCGTGGAACATGTCTAAATCAAAGGCACCTTTCCCTCTACCTGTCCTGGGTCCTTAAGTATGACAGTGCCATGTCTCCTCATAACATCTTGTCTCTTTGTTTTTCCAGTCTAACATACGTGCATTCACCAGTGAAGTTGTCCTGGCCAAAACACATGGCACCAGCGTCTACCTGGGCATCAACCTTCATCCCGTTGATTCCCCTAGGCTCCAGTACATTGCCCTCTGCCAGCAGGAAGTAGTTAAAGAGAGAAATCTTCGCCCCTTTTCATAATAATAATCATAAGACAGGATATGAAAGGGTTTTGGCCTAGACAGGACACGTAACCCAGCTGGCCTGGAACTCACAGCAATCGTCCTGCCTCAGCCTCCCAAGTCCTGGGGATAATAGGCGTGTGCCTTTATGTCTGGCTAAAATTTTATTTTTCGGAACCTGATGTAGCAGTCAGTGTTGAACTAATTCTGGGATAGCTAGACAAAGTCCCTTTAATTTTGTGTTGGGGAAGAGGTTTATTCAGAGGTTCGCCCTTTAACAAAGAACAGATTTTTAAACATGGGGAAACTCAAGTTTTTTTCCCGTAGAGAGGCAACTGTGGACCTAGTGTGGAAGGGCTCAGGAAATGCATGTGAATGATTATATTAGGATGAGGTAGAGGAAACAGCCTATGTGAGGCCAGCAACCCAGAGTAGGAGAGGGAAGGAAAAAGGAACATAAATCATAAGGAGATTTATTTATACCTGTGTATGTTGTACATGAAAATATGGTTGCGCTGGGTGTGGTGGCACATGCCTGTAATTCCAGCACTCTGGAGGCCGAGGCAGGAGGACTACTGTAAGTTTGAGGTCTTGTCTCAAAAAAAAAAAAAAAAAAAAAATTGATGGGGCATGTGCAGGGGGGAATCATGATGTACCATAGGCTTGAAGGAGATAACTGTAATTTAATATAAACATTCAAATTAATATTAGAAGTAGATATTAGGTTGTTATTTTTAGATACATAATTGTTTCTGCTATTTCTATACAAGTAAAACTATAAGTAATGTGTATACGTAGCATTGGATGCCTACTTTTATTGAAGGTATAGAGCTGAATTGATAAAACA